ACAGAAGCAAGACCACACCCTGCCTGCTCTTGGTGAATGGGAATTTTGACTTGGCAGAGCAGTAGCTTCCTCAACAAAATCCTTTTGTCAGGTGAATCATGGGGAATATTTGGCAGTAGGACAGCATAATAAAGTGGCTATAAATCACAGGAGACAATGTCCTGCAGGAAGAAGGAAGAGCAGGCAAGAATGTAGAGATAAAAATCCTTTAAAAAGTCCCAAATAACAAAAATTGTGAATCATGCTGGAAAAATTCTTAATGAAAACCATTATCTATAGACTGTCTCCCATTTCCTACGGAAATGTTGAAAAAGCAAATTATTTTATTTTAAGCCCTGACACAACTTGGAAAATAGGATGGGGGAGGCTGTGGAAAAATTCATCCCGTTTGACCTTCCACATCACAGAAGGTTGTAAACACTGTCTCAGGACCTGGAATATACACCACAATCTTTCACTCTCTCTATTCCCTGAAAGTCACTTTTTAACATCATGCACATATTTGTGTCCAGAAAGTAGCCCTCTACCACCACAGGCATGGATATTTAAAAGTCTGAATCACCTAAGGTCAAAGATGGATACACTAGTGTAAGAGCCTCTAATTGCCAATACCCAGGTGGCAAGATTTGTCTTTGCTTTGTCTTTCAGAGGCTAGCTCCTTGCCAGAAGGAGACTTTTTCTATATGCATGACACAAGGTAAGGGGCAGTTTTTTGTTGCTTCTATTTTTTTCCTAAGTTCTATGAAAAACTCCGATTCTTTGGAAGATCACTTGAGATAGAAAGGTCATCCATAATGGGTAGTTTGCTATAAATGCAGAAGGCACAGCTGACTTGGCTATTTTGAACAGCTTTTGCAAACATGCACAGCATTGACCTAATATCCTCCCCACTTTACTCTGTAAAAGCTCATGCTTTTGTTTAGTGCTACAAAGTTTGAAAAGCTTGGAGGACTGGAGGGACCAGTCTCTTAACATTCATCCTATGACCTTGTCTGTTTTGCAAAGAGGGATGGGTTTGAAGGACAAAAGAGAGGTACTGCTCTGGAGCAGTTGGTCTCCTCCCCAGACTGCTGAAAACCTGGCTCCTTACCTCAGTTTGTAGGGAGAAAGAGACTGATGCCACACAACAATAACTGAGGGCTTTACTGTTCCCTGAGATGGAGCACAAAGATCTTTGTCACTGGATTGCCCGACACAGACTTTAAAACAATAGTCAATACTGATTTTAGATTAACACATATTTAAATCAGGAACAATAATGGTAATGGACATCTAATTCACACATTGCTAGGAAAGCAAAATCTATAGCTTTGTTCTATCTGTAAAATGAACTGTGCTTCTGAGAACACTTAATCCTAACAAAACAAAGATAATAACAATTCTGTGTTCTTTAATTCAATACCTGTAGCTGTTTAAATAAAAGATTTTCAATCCACTTCTCTTTTTTATGCCAAGACAATTACAGCCGGATTTAGTGAATCTCTTTGATTTGTAATCCTGATTTTTATATTATTAATATACCCTTGATGCAAAGAGCAGGATAACTTAAAAAATGATCAGCTATTTGGCTTGGCATTTATGACTTTGGTCAGAGGACGTATTATGTACAGGAAGTTTTCTGGACCATCTGCAAGTAAATCAGCTCTGAAATGCAGCTTAGTTGTTTAGGGCAAAGCACATTCAGTTTCAAATTCCTAGGAATCTCCAGCTTCAGATGCAAAGTGCATTTCCACAGATGGACACTGACATGTGGAAATGCCACCACAACTACCGTTCAACTGACCTTTGGTTTAGGGCCAGCTGCCAACGGGAAATGCCAAGCTATTACTTATATTCATTCAAAAGAAGCAAGAAAACTGAAGAGGCTTGAAAGCAAAAAAAAAAGGAAGAGGTGTGGTCCTGCCTTTAGGAACCTAGCAAAAAGTAGAAAGCCTGCAGACTCCAGCAAACTCCTCAGCCCTATGACTGGAAACTCCTTTCAGAACTACCAAGAGCAGGACGACATTCACTTTGCACTGCAGAACTGCTCTCAACCCTCTGTTTGCTGCAGCTTGGAACTTGGGAGGATAGGTGCAAAGAGGTACCATACAGAATCACAGGAAGGAATATCTTGAGGTGTCCAGGGCCTCTCAGGGACCTGGGAGCACCCTGAAGCCAGCGTAAAGTAGCCTATTTGCAAGAGCTGGCTAGGCTACATCCTCAGTGGCACAGAGCAAGATGGTTTTTCTTCTCCTGCTTGCTTACATCAACAGACAAGACAGAGCCTGGGCTTTTCACAGCTTGCTTGGTGTGACAAGCAGTAGTGATTCCAGCTGGAATTCAACATAGCTGTTTTCCTAATAGCAGATACAGGAAATAATTAGAAAAGAAAATGCAATCCCCCTGGAACCAGGCACTGGAACAACATAACCACTCTAGAGGCTAAATAGGAAAGCATCTTCCAGAAACAGGTTAACTGCTTCAGAAAGGGTTTATCCCATGACTTGGAACACGTTTATTTTCCCTACTGTCACAGCAGGAGAGTTACTCCACAAATTGTCTTGAATCCATATCAAAGGCAAAGCAGCATGAGTAACACATCTCCCTGGTATCTCTGCTTTCTTCCAAACCAGAGCAATTTCTTTGTTTTGCTTTGTTTAATTTCAAATTGTCTGTCATCTTTCTGGATTTTTGGGGTTTTTTCTGCTGTTCTCATGAGTTACTCGATATACTAGATGGGCTTTAAAATTCATGGGAAATCAAATTGGTGGAGAAGCCCTGTGGTTTTGAAGGCAATTTTCTAATAATGGACCAAACCTTGGTGCAGGAGACTTCTCCAGCGGCTCCAAATGAGGGACTACGGTCTTTAGTTAGGGGAAGGGTTGAAAACATAAAAATGGATTAAGAGCTCAGCTCCCTGTGCCTGCTCTTCCAAGACGTCCAGCATGGCACCAGCAATAGAGAAGGTCCCAGAAACCTGCAGCTGCCCTGGGGTTCACAGAGGGAAGTGTGAGTACAAGGTAGGAGGATTAAGGTAGCAGCAGAGGTGGCAATAAAACTCTAGCCAAAGGAGACAAGGGCTTTTATAAGTATGTCAAGAGATAAAGAGCTAAGAGGAAGCACATCCTGGAAAGCACATTAGGCAAGAGGACAGAAAGACGTGACTAATGAGAACTGCTGACAAATGGCTCAGGATTTGCAACTACTTGCTGAGACTAGAGAGAGTAGCCGTGAAAAGGAGACCTGCAAGGGTACATCCTCCTCAGAGGTGTACTAGCCCTTGCCAGCCCTTGCCTGTGGAAAGAGCAGGAGCTACTGGCAGCCACACAGTTGTGATTACCTATGGCCACAGAGGGATATACATTCCTTCACTTGCCATTCACCGCCCAGACTCTTCCTTGCAGAGGTGCTAGGTTACATCCATAGCTTCCCTATAGTCACACATGCATTCTCCTGTTTGCACCAATATAAGCACACATCTAGGCTGGAGGAAGCCAAGGTTCACATCCACTTGCTCTGATTGAAGAGGAATTTTATCATAACCTCTAGCCTTTAAGGGAGACTTGAATCCTGTCTAGAGTGTTCAGTCAAGTCTTTTGACTACAGCTTTCCTGTATACCCTGGTGTGAATTGTCTGTAGCCATTGACTCACCCCCCCCATTCCTCTCTCCTGCTGCATGCTTCTCATGGACACAGGAGCATTTACTTTTCCATTTTTAAGCCCAACAAGTCATTCAAAGCAGACAACAGGAGCTCAAACAACTGAACTGGAAGAGACTGTCAGTCTCTGAACTTGACTGGAGATGAGTCTGGCAGCACACTTACCTTTCAAGACAGGAAATAACTTTGTCCGTGTCCTTCCACAGATGCCTTATGCCTAGGGACAGAGTTGCTCAGCCTGGCAGGATTTCACTGCTCTGCATTTGCAGACTGATACCTTACGTCCTCAACCAAGACCCTCAACCAACAATTCAGTGCAGTTCCTCTGCGTCTGTAGTATCTCCTCATGCTTACAGTATCCTGTAATTTACAGCCACCTTGCTAGACCTGAGCTTAAGACAGACCTGTATCATAAAAGCAACCATGGGCTGATGGGTACCTTAGAAGCATAAATGTTTATTTTGCACTGAAAACAAATTCAGCCTTATCAGTAGATGTACTTCACATTGCTTTGTGGAGTACCTCACATTGCTTGGTGTACTTCACATATGCATGAAGGATATTGCATTGTTTGACTGCTGCCACTGAAAAATGTACTAATATACATGTAGAATATAAAAAAAGTGCCTTCCGTGCTGGCTGCCAAACAAGTTTAATGTTGCACTACAAACCTTTCCCGATACAAGCCAGATTTTGACCCAGTACCACAATCTCTTGTTCATCAAAAAATTCCATCAACTTCCATTAGAGCTGTCAAAGATGGTATAGCCCAGGCTTTCATCACTTGCCTATGTTTAAGCACATGAGAAGTCAATGGGATGGTTTGAAGCAGAGTGTCTCCCTCTGTGGGGGAAGCTCTCTGTATGATTTACTAACACTTGGGGAACACATTAGTACTCTACACATGAGAAATGAAATCCAGCTCAGAACGAAATGTGGGACATTTAGCCATTTCGGTGGGTTTATTCTCATTTTCTATGGAAATGTTTTCCTGAAGTCAAGTTTTCTTCATGAGCAAAGTCCATTGCAAGCTCTGAGTTCAAATATATGGGGGTGAAGATATTTTACCTCTAATAACATGTTCTACTTATTTTTAAAGGTATGTGAACACTCTTCTGAGAATCAAGTCAAATAATCAGAGCCAGCCTATAGACTGATGAAAATGAACTACATCTGTGAGTGTCTTTGTCATTCCTGCTTGTCCAAACAGATCAATCAGCTCACCCTCATGCTGTTTTACAGTGCTACCACTTGACAGCTTTGTTCACATGCTGCTTTTGCCTAGATCACACTAATCAGCTGGTCAGATAAAAGTTATTACAAAAGTTGCAGAAGTATAAATACACAGCTGCTTCTCTTACCTTCCGCTGAGAAGGAAACCGATAACAACAGCCAGCAGAATGACTCCCACTGTTACAGACACAACAATTACAGGAATCTGGCTATCATCACTGGATGCAGCTACTGCTGAGATGAGAAACAGAAAATGGAGATTCGGGTTAAAATGACAGTCAGCACTCATATAAGTATTTCTAGTGAGGCTGCCAGTGAGGTTTCAAGTCTTACCAGTTCATTTCTTCTTTTATGGTTTGTATTTTCTCCCTTTTTCTATCTGTTTCTAGTTTGGAATGGATATGGGTGGACCGGAAACAAAACCACATGCAACACTAAGCCAAAAACTCAACAAGATTGCATCTCATTGCTGAATTCAGAAACCAAAGCTTTCCAGAATGCAGCCTTTAAGTTTGTGAACTCAAGTTTTTCTCTCTGACTTAGTTGCATTAGAAATCAGAGATAAAAGATGAAAACCCAATAGGCACTCATTTAGATGAAGACCCAACACTCAGAGAGAATATTTATGGAATGTTATTGCTAACAGACATAAGCAAAACCTACAAGATAAAAATAATTACCTTCACTTCAAGAAGCTATAAACAATTATAAACTTGTGGCATCTCTATCACATGGCCATAAGGCACCCTCTGTAAAACAGGAACTTGCTAAGACACATACACTGGTTGAATTTTTTATTGGCCAAAACTCGGGGAAGCAAAACTCTTCCAGTCTGTGCCTTGTAAGGAGCCCTCTTACAAAAAGGCAGGTGATAAAGATGCCAGCAGAAAGGTATCCTGGTTTAGGACAAATTTGGGAGGAATGAGGTTTTTTCTTGAAAAAGGTCAGGAGAGCTGCTTGACAACTGAGCTTTGACACAGGTCAAATAAGAGCAGGTGAGCAAGTTCCTGTAGGCTGTAAAATGGAAATGGTAATAACACTTGTATCTTGTTTATCTGCCCTACACGGCAGGAGGAGGAATCCATTTTCTCGCAGGGGTTTGTATGTGGGGTTCCCCAAGCAGCAACCAAAGTCTCCTCACCTTGCCCTCTTTCCTGCCAGCTTATTTAGCTGCATGTATATAACCACCCCAGGGTACAAATCTCACATCCTCCCTGCAAAACCAGCTCCCTGGCACAGGCACCACTGCTCTGTGGGGGAAAACCTCATTATAGCTCTTAACCTTGTGCCAGCCCAGGATGAAGCTTCATCCACCCCAGAGAGCAGCAGGAATTGATTGCATACTGAAGAAGCCTTTAACTAAATGATTGAACTAAAAAAGAGTCCTTAGCACAGGATTAACGTCATGAAGGCTATAAAATAACTGAATATAGTCCCATATTAATTGTTAAGAAAGACAGAAAGGTATGGCATTAAACATTGATGTGCACTGGGCTTCAAGTAGCTCTTCATACAGGAGCTCTCTGGTGCTTAACCACAAGTGGGGTGGACCACTACAGCAGTGTAAGTGATTTCAGAAGGATTGGTCCTGATACATTTAAATATTTAATTTTAACTGCTCCAAACTCCTTCCATCATCCAGAGATTTTATTGGCCTCACAAAGTTATGGGGGCTCCTTAAGATGGCGTTTTACTGCTTTCTTGACAAAGTAATTAAAAAGAAAAACATTTAAAGGATAACATTAAGCAGTGATTAGTGTTTTTTTGCACAGCTCAAGGGATGGGGAAATGAGATAAATTCTGCTGTCATCTATGGCAGATGAAAAGCCTAAATTCATAAGCTAAGCTGGGACTTGCTGCTTTTCAAAGTCAGGGACACACACACACACACACACACACACACACACACACCCACCTTCATTACCCTTTCTCAGCTTGGTGATATGTTCCTACTCCCGCCGAGCAGACTAGCTAGATTAGCTCACCAATCCAGCAAAAACCCGGCTCTTGGCAAGTTTAGTTTTTGGGGCTAGACGACCTTGGTGGCATTTGAAAAGGATAAGGCAACAAGTGGATACACCCAGCAACACCTTCTGCTCAAATAAAAAAAAATTCACTGAAAATTGAAGCCCTGGCTGCTTCATGGTGCTTTGCAGAATTGCACAAGCAGGGAGAAGTATTCAAAAATTCCTAAAATCTGGAAAAAGAAGGAAGTCCAAAACAGCTTACAGCTTTCCTCCATTGCATTTCTCAGGCTATTGTTGCAAAATTCCTCCAAATGTACTAAAGATAACTAAAGAAACCTTGCAAACTGGAAACAAAACCTGTTGTTCACTCCAAACAACTTTGAGAGCGTTTTTGTTTCAAGGCACAGCCACTGAAAGTTTTTCATCTCTGCTTGAATAAAAATAAAAATAATTTGCTTTGGCTCTAACAAAAAGTCAGATATGAGTTCCCTGATGTAGCAGTGAGATTTTGATTTGTACTTGTTTTCAAAATCTCTAGGATGTGTAAGAAAGCAGTGGGAGTCTGGTCACGCTCCTGACACTAATATTGACTTTATATAGGGCTTTGGGGGAAAAAAATGCCTTTTATAAGGTTTTAAATGTCAAACAGAGCTGCATTTTGCAAGATACTGAGGCTTACATTGTATTTAAATAGTACTAAGTCTTAAAGTATCTGGTTAAGTCTGGCCTCAGCCAGAGCTTGAGTCCAACAGATCAACAATTCCCAATTCCCAAACTGGGGACCATGCAGTAGGTATTCCTCTGACTATGCCAGAACTCCTTAATATCAGAGAAGTACCTATTCCTCTGCCTTTAAAATGTGAAAAAGACTGGGATGTGGGTATGACTAAATGACCCACAGAATTTCTAGTGTTTAAAAATATTTCCATGTGATGTCCTCTAAAATTCCTAAATTAACATAGATACTTACATGATGGGCTTTATGAAAGTGCCAATATTTTTGGACCAGGATCATAGATAATAGATCAAATGTGCATATATTTAATTTGTTACTCATAAATACACCAGAACACTGTTACTCAAACAACTCTAAGCTTGAAACTTTCCAACTGAGAAAAACTATACAGAACAATTTTTTGGCATAACATGATTTGTTGCTACTTATAGGGAACAATTAATGGTTAATATAATAAGAAATACATTAAATAGACTGTCCTTACTGCATTAATGTTTGCATAGTGATGCAATTTTCACTGTATTAGCTTAATCACTGGCTCCACAGCTACGTTTGCACATGTATAATGATGCCTTGAAAATCTATTATGAGTTAAAAGGTAGCATGCATGAAAAGACAACTCAGCATCTTCTTCTCAAAGATGATGAATTTTAAAAAAACTGGAGTAACAGTAATCAAAGTATTGATGAATTTAAATGTCCAAGGAAAACACAGAAAATAGTCTTCCACAGGAATGATCAGAGTATTTCCACCATAAAATTCCTCCTCCGTGCACACAGTATAAAATAATAAATGACAGCTGTACAAACTAAAAGAGAGAAGACATTTTTCTGGTGGACAAAACTGTATTTGACACCTTGGCAAAATTCTGTATTTGGGACAAAAAGCATTTCCCTACAGCTGTGCCTAAACACAGAAGAAAGAGCAGCTGAGCCTCTGTGTGCCTCAGGAGTTCACCTTGTCACAGAAACTGTTCCAGAATCCAGCCCTGGATAATCAGATTTGTTTAGAAAAAAAAATTAAAGAAAATTTAAAACCCCACAAATGTAACAGGCCAAGAAATCCTGCACCTGCAGTGCACATTTGTTTCCATTTCTGATTACAAGTCAACCTCCTTTTCTTGAGGCTGTGGCATTGGCAGCCAACAGAAGAAATCATTTAACTCAACAGGAACTTTCCCCAAAAAACTCAGAAGACACTAATGCTAGTTCAACTCTTCCCTTGCAGAGAGGCACTGTTTCAGGGTTTTTTTACCCCAGATGTAGATATTTAAGAGAGCTCAGCATCCTCTGCAGACAGTCTTTTTAAGGAGCAGGTCCCATCCCCTTTGTCTGTCCTGAGAGGAAAGACTCTCTTACAGCAGGCTCCTATAAATACAGGATTTTTCTAAGCATGGAATGCCATGAATTTCTGAAGCCTGAAGATCTCCTGCCTCACAGTGAGGAAGCAAAGGACAGATATGTCAAGTTCAGAGTCATGATGTGCACGATGTTTCCAAAGTCAAGGGATGAAGCCAATAAAAGGAAGTGCTTCCTGCAAAGGTATCGATCCCCTGACTTGTTTCTGGTAAGCGCTGCAGAGACAAGGGCTGACAGTAATTAAAAAGACTTACACAGTGGGCTGGTTTCGAACTCGAATCTTTGGCTGAAGCCCCCATAGCCGGCAGCTGTCCGGGCTCGGATCTGGAAGATGTATGCTGAGCCTGGCTTCAAACCATCTGCCGTAATCGTCGTCTCTTTGGACTTGATGATGGTGTAGCTCGTCTCTTGGTCCTTTTCCCAACACCCCCACAAAAACCACAAAGTTCAAATACACACAGAGTGGCTCCCAGAGAAGACATACTCTTAACAAACCCCAGAGAAACATTACAGAAGATGACTGAAGCATGCATTTTTAAGGATTTCTTCCTCAAAACCCCCTTTCTGAAGGTCCTTTCTGCAATATAAAATGTGATGTGATTTTCTCTTTTATAATCAACGATTCTAGGAGACATGCCACTGGCATTTGCAGTAGAAGCAGTTTTCCACTGCTCAGGATGAACATGGCCTGGGGCAATGGAAAGGATTATCATACAAAGATCAATCCCAAAGCATAGGGAAGATAAAACCAGTCCTATCACCTTAAAAAGGGATTTTGATTTACACCAAAATGGCTTCCCAGTAATGTAAGTAAGCCTAAATGAGAATAATATATTACACACTGTACAACTTTATGCCTGCATTTCTAGAACAACGAATTGGACCTTGGGAAGGGAATGATAAACCAAAACTCCAGGAAAATACCTAATTTTTGCATTGTTCTTCTGAAGCAATGAAGTTGAAGAAAAAGTGTGGTAATAAATCTTCATCTACATCAGTTTCTACTGTGAAACACTTCCTGTCCTGTGATTAAAATTTTGTTGAAATGCTAAGTAATTACCCTTAGAATTATTTACTGTAACACATAATCTAGACAAGCTCATAAATTAAGGTCTACAAATTTGGAAACTGCTTTTTATTCACCATATCTCTCAGATCCAAATTATTATGAGTTAAATCAGACTTTTTAGTAGTTCCTGACCAAGATTTCTGGATAGCTCTTAGATTCTGAGCTAATTTTTCCCTTTTCTTTTTAATTTAATGGCCAGCTTCCCATAGACAACAATATGTTTGGCTAAAGTGCTGGGAATTTCCTAAATGTAAGATTACAAAATTTCTCAGTTGAAGCCTGCTTTGGAGAAATGTGTACAGAGACATACACACACACACACACAAACATACATACATATATATATGTGCCCTTTTTTTCTTATTAAGGAGTGACCCCTCTTACAGGAATGCAATCTGACAAAACTTAGTTTTCCCAAACATTTAATATAAATCATTCCTATCCCTTGGAAATGAATGTGAATCTACCCTTATGAAGGGCTGAAAATTGAGAGAATATAAATTATAGTAGCAACAAAAGAAAAAGGATTAAGGGCAACATCCCCAGCCTATCTCAACTATTGGTTAAAAAGAACTAAGTGAATATTAGGTCACATCTTTGCTTGTATGTCAGACAATTAACTTTTCAATACACTGTTGACTTCTGTAAACATTTGGACTCTTGAGCTTTTCTACAGAAAACACTAAGCTTCATTCTCAGCCTGAAGAAAATAAATCAAGACAAAATGAACTTGGACTGGCTGGAGCTACCCCTCCACAAAGGACTCACTCTTGAAGAACTATTTGCTGAATCTATTTGACACTAGCCCTGGACTACAAATACAACATTTTAAGCACCCTCTCCTGCCAATTTGTTTGAAAACAAACTAAGGAAAATGAACAAATACACCAATTTTTTCACTTTAATTATTTTCTTTACCGTTTTTGTTTTCTAAAAGCTATTCTTCCCAAGCCATTCCGTGGTAAGGATTCAAACACCCCAACAGTTATTCAAACAAGTTAATAAAATAATTAGTAATGGATTATTTCCAGCAACAACATAACCTTGTTCTTGCTGTGTACTTTAATCTTCAGCCCTATTTAAGCAACTCACAAATCTATTTCACAAGCTCCCTCATCTGCAAAAATAACATTGATTTTATTTTGATGGAGAAGATCTATTAAATTCTTTTCCCTGTTTGCATGGACTGCTTGAGCAGGTCCTTCCCATACTCAGACAAAGAGGACAGAAGGAGTAAGGATCTAGTCCTGGTCCATGTTGAGCAATTTCACCTGGATCACAGATAGAGCTAATGGAATATCTTTCTCGAAATAGAAATTTAATTCCCCTAAAAAAAGTGAATTATCACTTAATTTCATTATTTTCCTCTTGTTTTATGTAGAAAGCCTGGATGTTTCCAAGGAAAAAAGAACACCTTACAATTCCAGATAAGGCAAAAAAATTGCTAACCAGCCAAATTCTGAAAACTTGATTTTTGGAAATTTAAGATTTCCAGAGATTTAAGGCAGTATCACTCAAAATACACTACTCTGATAAACTGCATTTATAACCATTTTCATTTAAAAGACATTAATTTTGCCGGAAGAGAACAAGTCACCATTTGAAATGAAGACTAGGAGAGGCAAGTTTTGTTGAGAGACTGCTTCCCTTTAAATCGAGAGAAAGAGCTGGAAAACCCAGGAAGTTTTAAGCCAATATGCCCTTTTCATATCAGAGCACATACAAATTCTCTCCACAACCCCCTTCTCTTCTCCTTTTACAGTGGATAGAAAAGCAAGTGAGAAATAGAAATACCAAAGGCAAGGGATTGCTTGATGTTTCTGGGAGGAGACAGGTGCTCAGTCCCCAACCCCTTCTATTTTTAACAAATGAGCAGGCTCTATCTTAATGTGATGAGGCTGGAGAGGAATTTGACACACAGATTTAATCTATTTGTTTGAGACAAGTGGCACACTAATGGAAAACAACACCCTCATATCAAGTATTCCTAATCATTTACTGCAAAATCAATCTGACATTGATTTACACATAAAGACTCTGCATTCCCTTCCATGACTCAAATAATAATAACTAAAAGAAGAAAACTATAAAGAGAAGGTACTTGGGAAGGTCAGCAATCAGTCCATCACACCTTTTCAAAATATTTGATTTCGTATTCCAGGATGATGCCATTCGGTTGATCTGGCTCCTGCCAGGAAAGAGAGATGCTATTTTTAGTTATCTTCCCTTTCTTCACAGTACTGACTGGAGAAGGTGCTGCAAGACAGGAGAAAAACAGATGAAAGCTATTGTTAGTAAGATGGTCTGCCTCAACCGAAGTTAGACACATCAGCACATCCTCAAATGCAAGACAATCCTTTGCTACTGCAGATCAGTGAGGTCTGTTTTTACCTTGGTGGTATTTTCCCATTTTTAACAATTGGACTCGCACAGATTTGCATCAACCCTGTCTTTTCAAGGAATTTTCAAACACATCAACTCCACAACTTCTCTTTTCAAATGTGTCAGGGGTCTACACTATCCGAATTACATATGGATTATGTTTTGCTTTCTTTTGCCTGCTTTCAAGGCATATATTTTTCAGAAGACCTCAGATTACACGGGCTCCTTAAATATTTTTGGATTTTAAGTAGTTTAAGCCTAGGCATCCTTTCAGCCCCCTCCTTCCAGAAGCAAGGAATATTACAAACTTTATAATTCAACTGCTCTCCATAAATGTCACTGGGGTGTTACAGCTCACATGGTGATGCTAATTCCTTGCAAATGGCAAAAGATTTTAATGGCCATCATAGTTCTGAAGTTTGCAGTGTGCTTGGGGAAGCCACAGCATGAGAGCAGCCATACCAGCTCTGCTCATTATTTTAAGATGCAGCCCTGAAAGATTATCTGCCCTTTGTAGCACATGTGCATCAGAAACAGGCCTGATCCTTTTTATTCACTCCAATGTCTGCAGAGACATTTAAAGTTGTGGTTGATGCCACCCCTGCCAGCTCTCTAGCAAAAGTTGCTACGGGCAATGCAACACTAACACCACAGGTATTTCATGCCAACGATTAAAAAACAACACCGAGTGAAAAGAGAAGGGGATGGGAGATATTCATAGTCTCTCATTTGCAGGGCCAAGAGCAGCTTCCTTAGAAATAAAAACAGGCCATGCCTGGATGAGGGACTTCAACTCACCCTCCACAGAGGCCAGCTCCTGCAAAGATGACAGGGGGCCTGAGAAGACCTATGGCAAAGACTTTTGTGGCCATATGGGGAATGGAATGCAAAGAGCAGCAGCAAACAACCACATTTCATTTTCCAAAATGTATGTGGAACTACAGAAAAAATTTCTTCTATATGCAGGACTAGCTAATTATCTTAATACTATAAAAAAGCCCAACCTATTAAGCAAAATGAAGATAACAAATACATTAATTTTTCCAAGTCTGATTTTAAGCCAAAAAGTAAGGGAAGAGCTCTAGACAATTATTCTTGGACTGAAGGCTAACAGCAAGACTTCTCTGTTATAGCAAGTTCTTACATCTCAGTCTTGCTTCAGCCGTAGTTTTTTACACTCCTGTTTACTTTCCCCACTTGGCTCTTGAAGGATCCTGAAAGGTGTTGGTTATTTCCATACTGTTTTCTGCTGGAGAGCTGGCATCAAGATGTACAGTATTTTTGCATTTTAACTATGGACCCACCACTGTGCTCTCACCACAGTTGTACTAGCAACTGCTCCACTGAGCGAGTAAAAACCATCTTGATTTGAATGATGATCATATTATTTATGCAGGCACTGCATGGTGATCACCAAAAATTTTTCATCTGCAAAAGTCACCTTACCCCTCTCTGACTGACGTCCTCTACAAGTTTTTGAGCTATGTGAAGGCAAATAACAACCTAAATACAAAATGCTAGTCTGGTAAAAGAATTTCTGTCCATCAACCCAGGTGCCCAAATATGCACTGTGCATACATGTGCACAGCAAGCTGAGTTGTGCATATGAGATACATGATCCGTGCTCATATGTATGGTCAGATATATTAGCTCAGAGAAGATAGAGTGAGTAGTGAACTCCATTAAAACAGAATAAAGCCCCTTCTGATGCAAGGAAGCTACATAGTTTTTAGGGGCATTAGATAACAAGCCTTGCTGTGTGGTGATGGTACAAAGTAAAAGGAGATTTTACAATCCTCATTAAATAGATTATACTGATCACTTACCATGAGTCACTCATATGCTACCATGTACAGGGAGGAGCCACCAAAGTACTCAAAAAAAAGGAACCCATGCCCTCTGGGACTGATCTCCAATGCCCCCAAATCCCTGCAATGCCTAGAACTGGCAGCAGAGGTCTGGCAAGATAGAGGACATCAGTGCTGAGCATTAAACCATTTTAAACTCCTACTAGCAAAAGTAAACTTGAGAAGAGCAGTGAAGGGACACCTCAGCCCTCCCTGGTATTGAATGCTTCTCAGGAAGGTGAAAATCATGCAATTCCCAGTATCAAAATCTCCTGATCAAATAGTGATTTTTCATCTACTTTATTGAGGTTTCCGAAGTGTTTATAGGACTGAGGTTTACAAGTGCTTTACAGCCAAGAAAACAATGTAAGCGCTTGCAAACTCTGCTGCAAAACCTTTCCCTAGGAGGTTCAGGGCAGTTTAGCTCTCCTTTACGTGCACCTGCACTGTACAACACAAAATGCACCACCAGCCACTCGAACACATCCATTAAATTTCTTACACCCCTAAACCAGAGCATTCCCTTTTAAAAGCGTGTGCAAAAAGCTTGCCTAGTGAGTAGCTTCGTGGACTTCAATCTCTGGGTGTGCAAGTCTCTAAAATGTTCAACTGTGACTCATAGAATGCTCTGCTCTACTGGGAAATGGATGGAAGATAAGAAAATGAGTAACCCAACTCTCGAAGTAAATTAGAAGAGGAGTAACCACATCCTTTTTGAATCTCCTTCCAAAGAAGTGTTAAAGTGTAACTGTGAGATAAAGGCCAATTAAGTAAATTCAATAAATCCCAGCGGTGCTCGTATGATACAGCAACTATTCTGCATCCTCAATGCACAGAGATTACGACGCTCTGAAATGAAGGAAGGAAGGTTTAAGTATTTTAGAGTTTTCTTTGTAAAAAAAAAGTAATCCAATCCAGGCAAATGGACAAAGTCTGCAATCATTCCATCTTAAAAGCCTGCAACTGGATACTGTGCTATATGATCTCAGAAAAATTAAAGGGTTACTTAAGACTTGCTTTTCAAAGGTCACTGCTTCTGCAAGGGCAGCATCCTCTTAATAGAAAGAAGTCAAACCACAGAGCCTTTCCATTTGGAGTACAACATGTAAAGAAACACACGTAAGAGTCAAGATACTTAAAGGTGTAATAGCTCACGTTTCTTTTGTAAGCAGACAGAAGTCTTCAAATCCCTGCCTTGACACAACAAAAGGTGGCTGTACATTGTGAATTGTTCATGTTCTGCATATATGCATTAATTTCTCAGCCACACAGTCAAGATCAAAGAGGGTTATTACATCATTTATGTTAATGTTTGCCATCTATGAAAGCATCCATGCATGTGATGAAAGCAAACAGAAGACGTAACAAGGTGTGAAATTGCCAATATACATTTCTTTTTTCCTGAGACCAAAAATTTATCAGGAAGCAAAGAAAAGCATAGAAAACTGATTCTTCCTTTTTTTGTGTGTGTGGGGTTTTTTTTGTGTGTTTTTTTTTGTTTGGGTTTTTTTTGTTTTTTTTTCTGTTTCTAATATTTCCTAAGAAGGGGACATACCAAATAAATAAATTAAAGTTTCTGCAGAAGACCCACAATTAGTCACATCTGAATAACTACAGAAAATTATTTCATGAGGAACAGACATTTTAGGACATTGTTCCTCTGCAACCTTTGATAATGACACTAGCACTGAATTAGCCATCTGGGCACCAAACGCCGTATTTACTACACACTGTGCTGTGTCCCACTAATATCTAACATACAAAAATGCTTAGTGGAATAAAATGCTAATTATGTTTTAAGAGAAACTAATGTTATCAGGTGAACAACCACTGTACCAAGACAAAACAAACCAAGTTTCTACTTTTCATGGCCTATCTAATGCTCTCTCCAGGCCAATTACTTTTGCCTTGGTATTTTTCACTCTGGCAGAAACAACAGCAAATGGCTCCCCATCTCAGTCCCAAAGCCATAACTTTTATCTGTTATCATATAACCAAACAGTTATGTTATAATTAATGCACTTAATAAATCCAGGTATAATTGAAGAAAATAAAACTCGTATTAGAAGAGTAACCACAAGACAAGTAACTCTGGTTCTACTTCAAAAGCTTGATATATTGTAATTTTTCACTCAGTTTCTAATTTTTTTTCTCAGGCTTTTGATGACTTCAGAGTTTGAAGCAAGACTTGCCTTATTCACCAAGTCACACTAAATGCATTGCAAAATTGCAGGTGGCTTCAAGCAGTAGGTGAATTAAAAAAAGACATATTCGTTGAAATAGAAATATTGCATGGGGAAGGGGAAAAATGTTTTCACTGTATTATCTCTTTACATTTGTACATAGGAACTTTTAGGGCACCTTAACACCCAGTAGCTCCCTTAAGGATACTTTTACTGTGAATATTACACCTGGGTCAGAACTTAGGATTTAAGTCATAACGTGTCTTTTGTGCTGCAATTTTTCATATCCCAAAGTATACTCAAGTTTGTCTGATAATGGATTCCAAAACTCTTTGTCCCTTGAGAACAAAGAGCAGCAAACCACATCTGGCTAGTTAAGCAAACAGGCTGGGCCCCAAGTTTGCAGGTGCTTGAAAATGTTTTTGAAAACTGAGTCTAGGGAATGAAAGGTCATTGTATGAAGCAGCATTAAATGTAATTTCTATTCTATCTGAGGTCTTTCATGGGATTCCAATCCTGCACTGGTCCTAAATAAGGCAAAGAAGTAAATTTTAGCCCCAAGATTAGATTAAATCCAAACACCTTGACAAGTAGGAGCCAAATCCTAAAACATCATTCATAGATGGAGATCATCTTCTTCTGAATGATTCTTCAAGGTATCTCTTGTGTAGATGGGGGACTTCATGCTAGTTCTTTTCATGCATCAAATATCAAAATGAGAACACAATCTTCAAATTGCTTTGGCAATGAATATATAGTATTTCTTCACAACTTCTATGTCCCAAGATGAAGCCCTGAGGTGCCAGGTCTTAGATCTCTTTGCAGTCTGAATGGACATTTTGAA